ACGGCTCCAAAGAGGCCAAAGCGCCGTTTACGTAGTATCAACCCAAACAAAGTGCTCCCCCCAAAGAGGGACGAGAAGTTGGGGACTGGACCGTAGTCCATGGCAAAATAACTGGCGAACCAGTAAAAGGCTTGACTGTAGTAGTCGCGCATTTTAATACTTGTAAGGACCGTACAAATTACCATCATATCCAGCCGCAGTGAATGTACCTACGTCACACGTCATACGTCGGACAATAGGCACACTGACCATAATAACCCGCCGTAAGCGTCTCTACATCTACCAGATCGCCACTCCTGCAGACGTGATGTAAGTGCCAGCCATCAGCACCTACTGCATGATCAGCACGGCTTCTAATTGCGGAGTGCGTCGTGTATCTACCGATTAAAAGGACCAATAACTGCACGAATTGCTTACTCATTAAGCCGATTATGTTGACCGTAAAATTTTCGTATTATATAAACGAGGGATACGAAATATTACCTTTTTATAATGTACTAATAATGTATGTCACAACTGAAACATTCAAACTTTTTTGAGACTTTCAAAATATCTGATTACTTAGTTGCGGGTGCTACTATCAAAAATCAATAATTGTGTCCACAGAGCAACACGGCCACCGCCACCGGCGCGACGGACCAGAGGGGAGTAACCATAGACGTTTTTCCCCTATCTACAATTTTTTGCGGGGAGAAATCTGAGCACACAGAAACAAGTAAAACAAGTGAACAAGTGTCTATCATAGTTGTACGAAGAACTTGTTATAATCGGAACACTTGGGAGCCAAGTGAGGCGACAGGTTTCATTTCAGATATCTTACAATTTTTATATAGGAGAGGGGTGACAAACGAGCACACAGTCCACCTGATGGTACGTGGTTGCTGTGACCCATAGACATCTACATCTGTACTCGATTACGAATCAAAATGCAAATGCGTTGTCACTCGTGATAACTAAGATGGAACGTCTCCTTTTCAGTAAAAAGGGCCTCCACTGCGACTTAATTTGTTGTAAATGAGTCCCGTCTTCAACCACAAATGAATTGTCTGGGTCCGAGTGATTAACTTTTTTATGGGTAAATTGACATGTTTGCGCTTCGTTATATGCAATTATTAGTGAAATTTATTTTTGTTGTAATTCATTCAAAAGGCATTTCCAAAATCCAAAAACAATGTAAAATGTACGCGAAGCTTAACCCTGACAAAGCTCCTAAATTGACTACAATATTAAAAAACCACGTACCGGATCTCTACTTCATAATACTAGACCAAATTGATACTTTTTATTTTATACGTGGTAGAGCCATGCTGCAGTTATATTAGTAGAATAGTTGTAGCACGAATGGATCGGCTCGACCGGGGAAGGACCACGCTCTCACAGAATACCAGCGTGAAATAGTAGCTTAATGCTGCTGTATTTCGTATGGTGAGTGTAGAGAACCGGAGACCCTTTTTACTGGAAACGAGGCATTCCATCTTAGTCAACGTAGACAACACATCTGCATTTTGATTTGTAATCGAGGATAGATGTAGATGTCTATGGGCCACAGCAACTACTTAACATCAGGTGGACTTTGTGCTCGTTTGTCACCCTATCCTATAAAAAAGACATTTGCGTTTCGTTATAAGCAATTTTTAGTGAAATTTGTTTTAATCGTAATTAATTCTAAAAACAGTGTAAAAGGTTCAAACTTAACCCTAACAAGCCTCCTAGACTAAAAGCATTATTAAAATTAAGTACCAGATATCTATAGCCAACCCAATCAGTCTATTAAATTCCACAGCTGGGTCTCTCCCGTTGTAGAGAGAATTTGACTTAATCGTCATGCTTAGCAGGTGGGTTGACAATCGCAGTGCCAAACGTTTCGTCATCTTTGATGCTACAGCCCGTCGTCGGTCAAGACATTTTACATCTGACGCAAACGAGATGGCCATACTGCCATCTATCGGAAGTCATAAGATTTATGTCCGAACGAAAAGTGGATAATGGATTATTTTACGCCGCTACAGCAAGGCATATATTGTAATAATTTAGCACATTATAATTCTTTGTTTATTTCTTATTCATGGAACATACAGCAAGTTGTTTCTAATTCATTACCGGCACCTCTATTACCACCGACATCGGAAAAGAGATTAGAATATTAAATTCTCAAATTCTTATTTACAATCTCAATATATCGTAAGGTTTGGAAATGGGCACACACAGGCTCTCTTTCATTTCTGAGAAGTATCAGTAGTGTAGTATTTTGTATTGAGGTAAAATATAACCTTTGTGGATAAAATGAATAGACAAAATAAAGCTAATATATCTCCCGGCCATATAACATAATATCTCAGTTTGACCTCATGCAAACTAACACTATCTTTAGACATTCAGGGTCACACACACCACAAGGTGTGGCTGGCTAAGGCATCCTTTCGTTCAGCCTTCATCTCCTATGATAACTTGGACCGGACAACCTAGCCCTCGACTAATTAGCTCAGAGAGCGCAAGCATCCCTTCGACCAGTCATCATCTCATAAGATAACTTAAGGGACAACTGGCTCCCTATCCGTCATATCATATGACGACGCCTAAAGCGGGCTACATACGACACGATATCGGTGGCGATCTAGGGTGGAGTAGTGGGGATGCCTCCTAGATTGCCTCTAAATCGTGTCGTATGTAGAGCCATCCTAAGTCGTAGCCGATATCGCCTCCTTAATCGGCTGGCAGGAGCAAAAATGCTTCCTAGATCAGCCGATGCTTCCTAGATCGGGGCACCGCCCCCTCCTTACTGCGTGTGTGTAGGCGCATCGGCCCGATTTCTTTTGGCAGTCGCTGCCGGCAACCCTCGCGGAAGGAAGTTAACAAAACAGTGATACTGAATGACCTTTTTTATGTAACAAAATTTTTACATTTTAATCATATAAACGGAGCAGAAGCCTATGGCACTGATATTTTACAAAAAACCAAAAAAAAAAGTGAATAAAATAAATAAATTAAATGAAATTTTATCGAAATTCAAATCATATCCACCCTAGCCTGTGACCCTGCGAAGTGACATGGTCAAGAATGCCTACTAAACTAATTTTTTATTGCCGTTCGTAAAGTAGAGTGTATGATGTAAGTAAGAAGAAGATAAAGCCTCTACTCAACAACTAACTCCTATTCCAACACTATCAACACAAGACCGCACTCATATCTCTTACAACTCCACAAGACCACAATTCGATCTCTTACGTGCCTTCATCCTCTTATAAACAACTAACTTCTACTCCTTCACCATCTCCACATCAACAAACAAGTTATATAAAAGGGAGTATGTCCGAAATTAAAGGTTTCTTTATGTTTAAAAAAAAGATATAAGCTATTTTATTTTCTGATAGTTTTACTCCATAAATAAAGATTACATTAAAAAAAGTATATATATTATACAAAAAGTATTTTATTTCCTTGTTTGTTGTGTGTAATACATAACCAGATTTTGACCAAAGCAGAAATGAACAAAGAGAAGAAATAACTAAATAGCATAGGTACATAGGAGAAATTGATGTTTTTATATAAGTGGAGAAATCATTTCTAGAAGGTTATAAAAACTGTCTTCATCCATCCGGAGAAAATTAATCATGTCTTTGGAATACAGATCATTTAGTACGTTTATGTGGCTTAATTTTTGTCTCTTTTGGAGCCATTTTTTCACCCAGCAACTCCTCTTTTTCTATTTTCGAATAAATTTACCGAGAGGGCTAATGCCAAACCAATACATTGGTGTTTTAAGAGAGTTGAAGCTATTTTGAAGAACTCTACCGCATATGTGTTCCGCTCCAAGTCCGAACGCGTACTGCTAGGCAGGCCCGTGTGTAGGGTCTGTCCGATAAAAGCCCCGATTTCTTTCCACCCTAGATCGCCACCGATATCGTCTCGTGTGTAGCCCGTTTAAGTCGACAACTGGCTAATTCCACCAAGCACACATAGGCACACAGCCCTTTGTACACCCTACACGGCACTACTAACATCGATAAAAGACACACCCTTTAATAAAACATACTTTGCAAAAGAATCAATAATTACAGAGTAACACTTATTAACACATTAGAATATGAAAAGGCTATTTATTTTTTTAATTCATAGCACGTCAAAGTTAAACATTCATTTTTCAGTACATCGCTAAACATTTCGAACTTAAAAATTAAAATGTAATTAAAATGTAGCCCACGCAAAACATATTTCGAATACTGAATGCAAACTATAACTTATCTAGAATACCTCTAACATTTATTTCAACATTTCGTAACATTTTAGGTACGTTAAGAAATAATGTCTCTGTAAAAATGATCTATTTTTATTTAATAAAAAGTATTTATTAACAATATGTAGATAATCGTGTGGGATGTTAAATAAAGTCTAATTGAAGTACGTAGCATATTAAAAACTTTTCATTATTTTGTTTTACATTTATACATTATTTTTAGAGAAAACCTAATTATAAACTGTCTCCAGTTTAACTTCAAAAGTATTAGTCACAAGAAAAATCAGAAATATGGAGAGAGGAAATAATAAAATTTCATTTTGTATAAATAAAATTTCAATCCAAAGTTTCTAAAACATATATTTTACGAAGTTTTAGGCATGTAGAAGCCGATATTCACGATTACTCAACAATTACTATTTCACAATTACATACAACCATTAGTTTTGTCCTTGAAGTATTCTCATGAATATTGGCTCTACACTACGAATATCAAGTTCGACAAAAATAGAACCACACTTCTGCAAACGTCACGCACATGCAGGCTTACAATAAATTGTGATGAACTGATTATTCATCTGAAAGTGGCGAAATGTAAGTTAGTTTCATTCAAATCACGCCCCGGCCAATGCCAGAGAAGTCACCACGTCTGGTTTAATGTTACGCCATGCACCATGTGTGTACAGTATAAAATAATCGGTAGAGCTTACACTTGGCATCAATCTTTATCTTACAGCAGAAGTAAGAAACAAGCTAAAATAGCAACATGATGAAAATCGTGAGTATCTATAGCTAACAATAATAATTGTCCTTCAACATTAATTTACTCCCATATGTTAATAAAATATTTACAAAAAATATATATAAATAATTTGTCTCTTCAATAAGTATTTGACATAATAACCATTATTAGTCTATAATATACAATGTTGGGATACCAAACAACATAAAAAATTGTGTCCTTGATTTTAGCAAAACTTTCAGAAATTGTATTCATTTTAATTATTAGAAACCTGCGGGATATGTATTCTCTTATGTTGTAAAAATATGACTTTTTTTGTTAAAATACATTAAAAAAATTAAACAGTTTTGTAACAATTCAATCAAAACGTCAATTTTACGCTGTTTTCGTGTAACAGCGTAAAGTAAAGTAAAATATCAGCCTATATACGTCGCACTCCTGGGCACAGGCTTCCTCTCTTTTCTGAGAAGGTTTTAGGACAAGGAAATGTCTGCCACGCTGGTTAAAGCATGTTGATGGACTTAATATGTGTTCAAATTATTTATATTTTAATTCTCAGATATGCAGGTTTACTCACGATGTTTTCCTTCACCACCGAGCACGTGATAATCAGCACTTTAAACTGCAATTAACAGTTTAATTGGTACCGACGGGAACAGTTGTAACTCAAGTACTTAGTACTTGGCATATATAGTACAAGCTGGGTTCGTTATACGACTGGTAAAACATAATTGCTTTTTTATCTCTAGTTGGTTATCCTCTCCGCCCTGATTGCCATTGCGGCTTCAAAACCTTCGGCGGCGTACTTCGCAGCTGCACCAGCCCCAATAGTCACCGCTACCAGCTCGCAGTATTACCACCGATTCAACAACGGCTTGGCTGCATACGTTGCTGCCCCAGCAACCTATATAGCTGGCGCCGCTCCCTACTACGCCGCCGCTGCGTATGTTACTGCTGCTACTCCTTACGTAGCTGCTTCTGCCCCTATAGTTGCCGTATAAATTTCTTTATAATCGAACGTAATATGTGATACTGCAAATAAAAATATTATGAATGTTTAATTTGCCTTTTATTTATTGAATTCTATTATTAATTGGTAGATTCAAACAAAATATAAACTCACTCACTCACTCATTACCTCTCCTAAACATTCATCAGTCCATCATGAGTCCACTGCTTCCATATAGGCTATTCCACATAGGCCTGCACTAAGAAATGCCACAGAGTACGGTCCTGAGCTACCTGCGTCCATCGACTTTTGTGTCTATTACCAGGCCATCACTCAATCGGGGGGGGGGGGGATAGGAACTTGCTTCGCTTGCCTGTACGAAGTTACCACTTGATAATCTTTCTTCTCATCGTCATTAAAGGTATATGGTCGGTCAATTGCCAGTTCAGCTTACAGATCTGTTGGGCATCTCGGTTACTCATTATGAAGTCATCCTCACCGTAGCTCACTGAGCGACCTTGAACTTCCTCATGTACTACTTACGACTCAAATGGACGAATGATTTTCAAGTGTATTTGTTAGGAAGCGGTAAATATTATTACTTAGTCTTCATAATGTGAAAACGTATTTGTATGACACTTATGTGACGATACGTTGGGCATAAATAAAATTGCATTAATATTTTTTAAATAATTTTTATGAAAAATATCCAACGTTCTATCAAATAATCTAATTATATGCCCAATTTCATGAGAATTCGTCTAGCTGGTAGAGCGTGAATGGGGCGTGACATGAAGCGTAAATGACAAGCATTCAAATAAACTTACTTTCATATTTATAAACAGTAGTAAAATTATCACCACCTTAGAACCTTGTAGCCATGAAATTTCAATGCTCTGGACTCATAAGCATAGAGAACAGATTTACAAAGGTGTTGAGCATAACTCCTGAATTGCTGATCGCTACCAAGCTATTTCTAATTTGTTTTGTGTTTTTAGTTATAACATACATGATTGTAAGCTGTTTTTTTAAAGTCACGCTGGGGGTCCTGCTGTTTCTTTCCAGGACTGAGGTTTTTTTCAGAACCAGTGGTAAATTTAAAAAATTACTTACCATAAAATATATTGAAAAAATCCAATATATTGAAAACAAAGTTTTTGTTTTTGTTACATCAATTTTTATTTCGCAAATTTGGCCTCACTTGGAATACTGGTCTCATCTCCGGACCAGGGTACTTTGGTGCCGGCTGTTTCTACTTGGCCGCATCCAGTGAAGAGTGGCCTAAATCTTTGACGACCAAGCTTTTTGATCAGCCTAATTCAATGAAGCTACAAAAAGAAGAAGAAGAAGTGCTCGGAGGAGATTAGTTCCAGCCGTAAAATAATATTATCTCACACCGCGAAAAACCTCACGATACCATCCACACCATCTGGATGCTTAGCAGTCCACTACTGTGCGATTTACTAGAAGTTTTCTCAGTCGTACGACTTCTTTGTGGAATTGTCTACGACCGGCGGTTTTTCCGAACCGATACCTCCTAGGGAGCTTCAGGAAACGAGGCCGGCAACGCACTTGCAATTCCTCTGACGTTGCGATTGTCCATGGGCGACGGTCGACACTTACCACCAAATGAGTGTCATGCTCATTTGCCCCCACTTCAAGAAAAAATAATAATTTGTGGCACAAACGAGTCAATATAGCTTTAATACATAATATGCACATGCATTATAACATTCTATTACATAGTTTCAATATTTACCAATGAAGCCTTTGAAATATTAATAGCAAATAATAACTTCGCTACACATTTGATAATATAATTTTCTTAGGTTCATTATAGCATAATATTAGTTGCTATTTAGTTTTAATTGTATAATAATAACAAAATACCATAGATAGTCAGCCATCAACCATCAATTTTGTAAACATATTAATGTCGGAACTTTATGAAATCAATTTCTTAGCGCGATAAATAATCTCTCTTCGCTATTCTTTGTGTACAATAGATCTTTGAGTAAAAATATTGAATGGAAGCTGAAAAGAATCGCTTCCGAAGCAATAAGACTCCGAAATGTATCCTGGGAAACACTGAAAGGCTAGCTGCTTTGATATTGTGATTGTGATGCTTGAGACTGGTAAATACCCTTAAGGGGGTAAAATTTAAAATAAAACATTTCTTTTTGATTTGTAATTGAAATTCTGCCCTTTTCGATAAGTAACTTATATAATGGTACATGTTTAAAGGTTTTTGGATAGTCGAACTAGTTTTTTTTTAATTATATACATAGGCGCCGGCAGCAAAGAGGTGCACTTGGACCCGAAACTTGTACCTTGTCAGGAATTAAAATACATCGAAATACTAAAAGCGTTTAGGTTGCTGTCGAAATTTGTTTATCACCTTGTCAATAAATTCATTTTCCTACTCTTGTCTTTTCCTGTGAACACTTAATGGATTCTGCGAGCAATAATGTCAACTATCAACTACAAAGAAATATATTCAATCAAATACCCGTGCGATTTGAATTTGACATTACATTTATCTACAATGAAAAAAATGTAATTCTATATTTTATGTTATTTAACTAGATATAATTACTACTTGCAGATGCGCCCATGATTATATATTAAGGTGTTTATCTGAAAGTTATTGCAACAGCGAATAAACATGTTCTTTTTTTTCTTTTACTTCTCTCACATGATAGCACTCAACCAGCTTGCCATTTTTTTACTTATTACAAACCAGTGCTAGACCACAATCCCACCTGGCGGTAAGTGGTGAAGCAGCCTTAGATGGTAAGTAGCACTGTCTTAGCGCAACAAAAGCCTATTCACTCTTGCCTTGAAGACGCCCGGAATGTATTCGGACGGAAAGATAGACGCCGGCAAGTTATTCCACTCTTTTGCTGTACGCATTAAAAAGGTCTAAGCAAACCGTTTCGTTCTAATGCGTGGAATATCGACAACAAAGGGGTGAAATCCCGCCGACCGCCTAGTCGTCCGATGATGGAAAGGAGAGGGAGGAATTAAAGCGTGCAATTCCTGCGAACACACACCGAAATGCATCGTGTAGAAAACCGAGATGCTGGCTACTCTGCGCCTGAGGCGCGCCGCGCTCGTGGCTGACAATGTTGGTTTCAACCAAATCAAGGTCACCAAGGAACCTCTAAGCACGTTTATCTATTGAGAACAACGCTGTAAGGTGGCTTTTGTAGCGTCAGCTCACATGTGACAGCAGTACTCCATACACGACCAGACATGCGCGTTCTATAAGGTTACAAGCTGCCCTGGTGTGAAGTACCGCCGCACCAAGTTTCAACTTGTGACTTCGCAAGGTTTTAAGAAACTCCTTGTTGATGATACGGACTTCTGACAAAAAGGTACCACAGTGAGGTAATTGAGATGGTACGCTGTTGCTACTGTCCAGACGCTATTTGCAAGCAAAAAATAGAAGCAAATGAATCCGCTTTCTCCTTAGTGCCAGTGCCAGTAAACCGACAGAAGTTTGTCTCGACCGTTTTAGTGAGATACCAAAAAGCTCTACTGCCAGATGTTTTGGCAGAGAGCTTTGTACCAATGCATTTAATGCGGTCGAAACTAGTTTGCCGTAATGCCTTTATGCTAGACTTGGCGGCTTAGTTAAAGACTCTCTTCTTAAGGCTAACATCCGGAGTTTTACGGTCTTGAGCATCGACCCATTATAAGTACGCTATATGCTTGTGCTTTTCAGCACGAGCACACTCAGCGTTGAGCCATGGGCGAACTTTACCACAAATGGGCACGTAAGCAATGGTGATAAAATACTCCATCGCTTGACGTATCACATCGGTTATAGTATCCGTGCAGCTCGACGGATCTTTAGGCAAAAAGCAGATCTGCCTTCAAGAATAAGATGCAAAGAAATGCCACATCTTGGCTCTGCTTGTGCTAGACTGGTAACTGGTACAGTTGATAGAGTACCAACGACAAGGCAAAATTTCACGTATCTCTCTTAGCGTGGTGAGTCTTCTGGTATGGGAACAGCCAGTCCTGATGACAGGTATTAAAATCCCCCAGAAAAACCAATTATGCATTAGGGTACCAATTTAGAGCCACATCAGAGGCTTCACTGAGGTGTTCAAATAGCCTAGTTGTCTCCTGGTCACCGCTGTGCGATCAGTAGACACAAGAATACATAACTTTAACCATTTCTGTGTCTATAAATACCCAGATCGTAGAAAAATTAGGGTTTCGGGGGACTCTAGCCAAGGTACGCCGCTTTTAGACGACATCTGAACAGCGTCTCAGTCAAGAAAGGTAAGAGCGGTCTCAAGGAAATAATGGACTGCATTGACATTACAGTGCAGGCCTCGGATGTTTGTGAGGTGCACTTTGATGGAGAGGGAGTGTAACCGCTGTATAAACTTACTCTTCCATTTTATTTTTTCATTATTGGTGGAGTGAATAGGTTGAGAGAATGGCAGTTGAACGAGGCGTCATACATTTAACCTAGGGACGCAAAAAGAGACACAGCACCTATTGTATGGATTTTTATTAGCTTCCTTACTTAAACTACATGGCTATATTATAAGTACTATTATAATTATTATGTTTGAAATGTACTAATTTCACCTAACCTAACCGATCAGTCAGAAGCCGTACAGATCAGTGTATCGTACTCCAACTGATCGATTAGGTTAGGTGAATACCGGTTGGATCGAGAGTAAGCGAGAGGTTGAGTTACTCTAGCGGAGCGTCATGTCGATGGTGGCGAGGTGGAATTGAGGGTATATCGAGAAACCCCACTCTTTTATGCAGTATAAAGTTCACTGAAGGCGCTGTGCGTGAGAGATTCGCCTAAGTCATACTACAAGTGAAGCCATGCTACGAGTCCAAAGACTCGTAGAACTACAGTATCGTAGTTCTGTTCGTTGTAGTAATTCTTATAGTGCAGGCAAGAAAAATGCCTGGACATCGCGGGAATGCCCGAACCCCCTGGAAATCGCCACCAGGCCCTCTCCTACGGTCGCTAACCGGCGCGGTGGAGCCAACCCAGGATTTTTCGTAAGATGACGGGGCAGGCTTTCGTGAGTGGCTGGCTATTAATTTAGCACCCAACTATCTACGGTCGGCCAGCTGTGCAACCGTGATTCGGTTCCCGCTAACCTCTATAATCAGACACCCGACAATAATAAACGGCCGCGTCACAGCCGGTTCTTATGCGCGACGCAACTATCCAGACCCATTCTCAAAAAAATCAAGAAAAGGGTTTTACCTTACATCATACTGGAACACGACTTGCATAATTTGGTGGTATTTCTTTGCCAGGTGGGTGATAACTAACCCTTGGCCGGACCTCTTTTTTATTTTTATTCATTAAGGTTTACCAATGTTTGATTACACTGTATTTAACAAAATGGCTTAAGAACTAACTTACGTTTTTTTTTGTTTTTTTTTTTATAGAAGAAGGGGGAAACGAGCATGCGGCTCACCTGATGTTAAGTGACTACCGCCGCTCATGATCAACCGCAACACCAGGAGAATTGCGGGTGCGTTGCCGGCCCTTTAGAAAGGAGTAAGCTCTTTTCTTGAAGGTCCCCAGGTCGTATCGGTCCGGAAAAATCGCCGGTGGTAAACTATTCCACAGAGAGGTTGTACGTGGAAGAAAACTCCTTGTGAAACGTACAGTGGTGGACCGCCAAGCATCCAGATGGTGTGGATGGTATCGGGACGTTTGACGTGTAGTGCGTTCACGAAATTTGGCGGCTGGGATTAATCCGAACAATTCCTCAGAGCACTCCCCGTGATAGATGCGATAAAATACGCAAAGAGATGCAACATCTCTTCGCAGCGCCAGTGAATCGAGCCGATTCACTGGCGCTGCGAAGTACGTAGCTAAGTGTAACAATCGTTTAAGGTAAACACCACATGCATCTAGAAAGATTATAAATACGAATAAAAAGAAGTTTAATTAACTAAAAATGAAAATAAGCATATGGTAGAAAAACTCTCACTAGTAGAGGACCAACCTACCACCAATATATAATGCTGATTGTTTAGCACTATCCAGGGGATACGTGTATGGAGTCAGGATTCAAGTAATTCCTATGGACCCGAGCATCTTCATCCTCTATTCCCTCATTCTCTACTGAAATTAAGATTTTTTTTTATTTCAATAGCCCCACAAATCAAGTCATCAATGAGAATAGACAATATGATGGAATGAGAGGACAATCCTGAACATATTCATAAATTGAAGACTTTGCAGAGATTGGGTACTACACATCAGTTTTTTTTTCGCGGAAATAAGTTAATAATCTTTTGCTTTGTCGTTAAAAGAGAAATCACTTTCACAATCCAGATTATAAACTCCTGCATTGTTTAGTGGGTTATTACTTTTGACAGGGTTATAATTGACTAATCTTTTTACTGGAAAGGAGGCATTCCATCTTAGTCCTCACGGGTGACAACGCATCTGCATTTCGATTCGTAATCGAGGATAGATGTAGATGTCTATGGCCACAGCAACTATTTACCATCAGGTGGACTGTGTGCTCGTTTGCCACCCTATCCTATAACAAAAAAAAAACTTTTTAAGGAACCACGTTTGAATATGTAACCAATTTTATCAGTGACTCCTCTAACATGATAATGTAGTACTACGGGCATATTCTCGACTGTGAGTGACCGGTTTCACTTCAACACTGTGACGTAAGCGCAGGACTAGAACTTTGTTATCGTGCAACGCTAGCTCGCCGTGCTGGAGCTCGGGAGCCAGGTGTTTACTGTCACTGATGCCTTGTGCTCTCTGAAACAAAGATTATCGCGGTTGCTAACTGTTAATTGTATAATGTATTAGAGATACTGGCTTAATATCTTTATCTTTATCTTAATATATATAAATTACGTGGATGGACTTCTAAACTACTTAACCGATTTTAATCAAATTTGCACACCGTGTGCAGTTTGGTCCAACTTGAGAGATAGGATAGTTTTTTTGCCCATGAGTGACCCACAATTTTTTTGCTAATTTAAGGATTTTAATAGGACATGACAGAGGGTCGTCGAAAAGGGCAGAGCAATGTCTGCCTGGCAAGCTAGTATTATATATAAATTACGTGTCACGTTGTTAGTCCGCGATGGACTCCTAAACTACTCAACCGATTTTAATCAAATTTGCACACTGTATGCAGTTTGGTCCAACTTGAGAGATAGGATAGTTTTTTTTTGCCCATGAGTACCCTCAATTTCTTTTCACGAATTTAAGGGTTTTCAATAGGATATGACAAAGGGTCGTCGAAAAGGGCAGAACAACGTCTGCCTGGCAAGCTAGTTTTACTATATAATGTCAGAAATCTGAATTTAACTATGGTACGAGTAAGGACATGTAATACGTCTCCTCTTGGACCGCGGTTTTTGCTAAACACATAAATAATACGTAAACTAAACGTGATAAAATTCATTACAATGTACTTTTTTACATGATGGTAAGTGAATACCGAAGCACACGAACAACTGCAACACCAGGGGAATAGCAGATGCGTTGCCGGCCTTTTAAAAAAGGAGTAGACTCTTATCTTGAAGGTCCCTAAGCCGTATCGGTGCGGAAAATATCTGGTGGTAATCGATTCTACAAGGAAATTGTGTGAGGAAGAAAGCTCCTTTTAAATGACCCACTGGTGGACCATCAGGCATCCAGATTATATGGATGGTATCGCGAGTTATGTCGCAGCGTGCAATTGTGAATTAGTCCAAACAATTCCTCAGGGTACTCCCGTGATAAATTCCATTAAATATGCAAAGAGATGCAACATCTCTTCGGAGTGCTAATGAAACAAGCCCATCGGAGCTCGGTCGTCGACGATTCGAACATCTCTGCGCTGGATGCGATTAAATGGAAAGAGCTGGCACTGGGGAGCCCCAGCCCAGAGATTATTAATAAATTAAAACATAACTATCTAACTTAACTAGATTAATTTGTAGTTAGTATTCATGTTAACAAATGAAACTATTACATTAAATAAATAAAATTGAAGTGTTTGTATTCCATTAAGTCACGATTAACCATTTTTTTAACTGAGTGTTAGACTCAGAAATGAGGATATCCGAAGTAAAACCAGAGTGACCGCCATAACCCAACGGATTAGTAAGCTGAAATGGCAATGGGCCGGCCATATAGCTCGAAGAACCGATAACCGATGGGGAAGAAAGGTTCTCGAGTGGCAGCCTCGTACCGGTAGGCGTAGTGTAGGGCGACCCCCCACTAGATGGAGTGACGACCTGGTAAGACATGCAGGAAGTCGATGGATGCAGGTGGCTCAGGACCGTGCTTTGTGGCATTACTTGGGGGAGGCCTATGTTCAGCAGTGGACTTGTGAAGGGCTGTAATGATGATGATGATGATGATGAACCATTTTTTTAATGTTTGTCTGAATGTCCGGGCTAATTTTTGGAATGGCTGAACATGTGGTAATGAAACTTTACAAACAAATAGAGAGGATTGATAGGAGTAATAGAATTTCCTTTTTCTGAAAAAAAAATATTTTATAATTATTCTAAATGATCTTTAATTATATTAATGTTTTCATCAGCCCATAAAAGTCCTCATCATCTCATCTCAAAACATGGAAATTTTAACTCATGTGAGTAGAGACAAGGAAATAACCTTTGGTGTGCCCCACGGGAGTGTACTTACTCAAACTCTATTTTTAATCTATATAAATGACCTCCTCAATCTAAACATTGAATATATAGGATACAATGAAGCGTAAGTCTGGAAATAAGCTTCTTTAATTGAGGAAAGATTTCATTAATCGCCACGCCAGCATATTAGCGTTCGCAGTACCAGACATCTCACACTTAAAATTATTATGTTTAATACTGTACTTTTGTTCGTTCGGAAGGTTTCCTAAACATTAATGTGGAGATGATTTTTATAAGGTCGATAAAGATGTTTTATTGGCAGAAAACACGAAAGAAAAATAATATTTGTTGTTTATAATAGGAAGGATTTTGAGTAAAATGAGCTATTTCTGCTGTCGAGTTAAAATATAACTTACTTACTTTATATTTACGTTGATTTTAATCAATACGACGTGTAAAACTATATCCACTGTCAATAAATGAATGTTATTGAATAATTACATAATGTTCTAAGTACTAATTAATCGAATACTACCATTACTGGTGGCGACAGTACTTTCCCAGTGCCCATGTCTATCTATTATTATTCCTACGACGTCGTTTCAATACGATTTTTGTAGACATGAAGGTCCGTGTCCTTACCCATTGAACCATTAAGTATTCCGCTACACCCACAACATTGCCACACGACGATGCAAAATTTGTAACACCTATATATAAGTGAAGGCTTCATTTTTAAATGTCCGCATTGCAATTTTAAAAGCGGTTATGCGAAGGAACATAACAAGCATGCTCGTAACGGTATATCTAATACATTTATTCTAATGTAATCAATTTATCGTAATATAATACAATAATTACTAATAGTGTATAAATTTGTTACAGATTTCTCTGTTTTTAGCAGCATGTGGGTTAGTTCAGAGTTCTGGCGTCAACTTACTAGCTCCAGCTGGTGCACCAGCGCCTGTCGTTACGGCATCAAGTTCCCAGTACTTTGAGAGAAACTTCAATCGTTTAGTGCCCGCACAGCCAGCTTTACAACCAGTATATCCAGTGGCCCCGCCACCTCCAGTGGTAGAAGTCGCTAGAGCTCCAACGTTTGTGCCCGTTGCACCGGCTTCTCCGGTAATACCAGTAGCTCAAGTTCCAAACGTAATTCGAGTGGCTCCTGTTCCTCGGGTAGTTCCATTCCTGCCAGCAAGACCAGTTTTTGGCGAACCGACGACGAAAAATAATCAAGAACCAGCAACGCCTGTAAATCCTCAACAAAATATTCCTGCTGATCCAAACGTGGCTTTTGCTGTGGCGACTGCAAACGCGGCTGCACCAGTAGCAACAATATTGCTTCCACCGTATCCGTTTGGACCACCTCCATCCCTAGGATTTATACCCCCATGGCCAGTGTTTAATACACCAGAAGTAAAGCGTGAAAACGAAAGTACAACAACAAGCACAACGCGAACACAGGCAACAACAACAGAGAGGGAAAGTGAAACCACAACACCTGTTCCTTCAAATGTCGATAACAGTTTTGCTCAAGCATTACCTTCTAATGATAATGTAAATTTCAGACAGTATCTTCCACCACCTTTCCAGCTACCATTAGAACCATATTCACCACCTATGGGGAGACCACAGACAGCCAGACCACCACAAGCGAAGCCCCAGAAAGTTAAAACAGCAGTCGAAGTAGTGCCAGTCCCATTAACGTATATTGCACCACCTCCGCTAAAGAAACATCACCCCGTGAAATTAATTAAAGTAACAAAGCATATTCATACATTTATTCCCACTGGTAAAATTATAATAAGACCAGTCTCATATAGAACGCGAGCAAAACCTGCATATGTTATAGTATACAGAAAACCTACATTTGCAAAGAAAGTGGCAGCAGGTTACCCTCAAGCTGTATCCAGTCGTTCAAAATCAAGGGATGTTGAACCTACTACCTTTAGATCTGTAATAAGACCTAATATTAGATCACCGTGACAATAATGAAAAATATTTTAAATTAATGGCTTAAACACTTGTTGAAATTTCACACACACTGTAAATAAAAATTATGAGAGAGTTGAAAATAGTAAATAAATATTTATACTTTTGTATTTGAGTTTGTTTCATTGAAAATAACTCGTATAGAAACATATTTGTAAGTCTAGCTCATATTAACTGCGGTACAAGTAGATATAATCTACTAAATAATAGTGTTTATATTTTATATTATATAAATATTAATATATATTACAAGCACTCGTACTTAACTTATGCTAAACACTGCCTTCTTCTAAAATTAACACTAGCATTCGTAAATAATAAATGATAAAACCTAACGCTTGCTTAATATCATCGTAGGAAATATAAAATACAATGTCAGAGACATAGAAATAATCACAACAAGCATAGTAGACACCTTTTACTATTTCATTTCAGCTTACCAAAAGCTCACATCCAAATGTAGACCTCCCCATAGATTGTTTCTTAGAGATATTTGCCACCGCTGCCACGCTTGGCAGGCGAATTGGCAACCGCAACTTTTATATTATTTGTAGTCGTTATTAAGGAGGATGCTGCTGTCCGTTTTCTTTCATTTCCCCACACTTCCTAGTAAATATAAAAGCCATCAATTTGTGTTTATGCTTAAATTTTATTCCCGACTAGAAATTCAAGAGTAGGAGTGCAGTAGTCACGGGCTTTGATTATTAATTTTTGAGATAAAGATTACGCGAATATCTCTGGGCTACCAAATAAACATCTTATATATAAAAATCAATTGGTGTCCGTTAGTCTCGCTAAGACTCGATTTTTTTGTATGTATTTGAGTGGGTACCTGGATGGTTTAAAAACTCAATTATTAACCTGGTAGGTGGTGCTGTCGTCGAGATCCAGAAATCACCCGTGCGAAGCCGCGGCGGATCGCTAGTATTAAATACAAATTTATTATTTTCAAGAAACTACTATTTTTTAAGTTATTACCCTTAACTTTAAGTTGTTACATATAATTTTTTATACAATAAAAAATGTCAATTCTGTTCTGAACCGGAAACGGTGAATGCAAGTTTTTATCTGCATTTGCTGAGTAGGATGGAAGTGTGCGTTTTATATATATTTGAAGTCAATCTGTAATATTTGCGACATGTCCTTTGAGCATTCTTTAACTTTGTTTTATTAAAAGTTTGCACCTACGCCTTGTAGAAGGATATTCTTACACTTTTTGGATGGTCAAAACTGATTTATCTTCTTCTGACATACGGATATGGTAGTGACACGCTTGATATGATAGATGATAGTGGTATATGAACCTTTATCCTATACACAGTTTTACTTACTTAATAACAGCTAAAACAATACAAAACCGTGCAAATCTCGTGACCATAGGTGCTGTTGAAGCACGTAAAACCACTTGAGTAGTAGTATATTTATTCATGTAGTAAAACTTAAGAAATTAAAAATAAGTTGATTTGCTTAAAACCAATCTTCAGTCAAGATCTTAGTCGCTGAGGAAAGTGACTGACTTTCGATATTTTTTAAGGTACCATCTGGAGAGGGTGTGGAGGGATTTCATGACTTAATTCTTTCCTTTCCCTTCGAAAATCCACGCATTTGAGCTAAATAGTTTGCTTCCTTGTTAGTACACGACTGAAACAGTTTCTAGCATTTGTTTTTTCCTCACCGATTGCAACGTGGTTTTGATTTAGCACCTGGGTTTGCAGCACCACTTACCATCAAACGGGAAGGTAGTCAATTAGTGGACTATAAATAAGTTAAAAAAATAAAGCTAACCCAATAAATCCGTAAAATCAGTTTTTGTAATGATGTATTTGCGTATATATATATATATATATATATATATATATATATATATATATATATATATATATATATATATATATATATATAAAAGTTTATTAAATGAAGGTTGATATGCTGATACAAAATTCCAGTAAATATTTATGCCCTAAATTAAAAAAGTCATATTGTGATAACGTTAAAGACCTTTTATTAATTTTTATGTTTATTTTTATTATTTTTACATTTTATTCCTATGGCTTACTTATATACCAAAATGTGTTTATTAAATCCTCTATGTCATGAAGGCTTTACGAGTATATTTACGAGTATATGGCACCAAGAACAACCGCTTAATAGTGTTGCAAGTTTATATTTAATTTCAAAAAGCCACTTAACATAAATTTTACGTTTGTATGTCTGTAATAAAATTATTAAAATTACAAAAACATATTATTTTACAAATGAAATGAAACATATATACAAAAAACTTAATAAATCATCCTTTCTCATGACCTACTTTAAAGTCAAAGTTACAACCTATATACGTCCCACAGCTGGGCACAGGCCTCCGCTCATTTCTGAGAGGGTTTTAGGGCAAGGAATTGTCCGCCGCGCTTGTGCCCCAGTGCGTGTTGGCGAACTTCACATGTCTTCGTAATATTTTTTTCACTATTTCTCTGACATGCAGGTTTCCTCACGATGTTTTCCTTCACCGCCAAGTGGTAAATCAGCACTTAAAATTGCAATTAACAATTTCATTGGTGCCGGCGGGGATCGAACCCGGTTTGCTCGCGTACTACAGCGAGCGCTAACCATCTGAGCTACCACGGCTCCTATATATATATATATATATATATATATATATATATATATATATATATATATATATATATATATATATATATATATATATATATATGATCTACTTACCGTACAAAAGTTTATTTTGATGCGAGAATGAAAATAAGATGCAAGAAAGGAATTATTACTGCGTATTGTTGGCAGATATATTTTTTATGATCCATATTTGAACAAGTCTATATTACATTAACAATCAAACAGATCCTTATTTAATTTGTTGCGTTAATTACGCGATATTTCAGTTCGTGAAAATGTAAGCGAGTCTTCTCATTTGACTAAGTTATCTTACAGTTTATACGAGTAGATATTTCTATTATAACATGATAAACTCACGCTGCAGTGTTATTTATAAATCTGCAGCACAAATGAGTTTGTTTGACGGTAAAGCGTACCACACTCTTAGATTACTAGCTATTTTTAGACGTAAGGGTGAAAAATGAGCACACAGTCTAGTTAATGAGAAAAAATTCTATACACCTTAAAATGACTACAACTATTTTCAACGTAGAAACGAATGAAAAATCAATTACGTTATCATCAACTTAAATTAAAAATTTTAAAAACACCCGAAACAAAAAGAGCTGGATCTTCAAACGGCGGAAGCGATTTTGATAAAAAATGCTTAAGAGCCACAACGAGAAAACCCGCTTTTAAATGAAGAAAACCGCACCCAAATCGGTTCAGCCGTTTAAATGACAGACAGTCACACAAACAGACAGATATACATGGCGGTCAAACTTATAACACCCCTCTTTTTGCGTCGGGGATTAAAGGCAGGTACGCTGCTGTCTTATATTTACGCGAACACTACACGTTTAGATAAAACAAGTTTTGCAGATTTTTATATTAACTTTTTTTATATTCTCGACGTTTCGACCACTTTACAGCACCCATGGTCAGGGGGGGTACTAAGGTGTTCAACGTCCAGATGTCATAGTTAACCGTGGTTGCCCGCAAATCAAAATTATATATTTTTGTTCCGATCTACACATTACGAACTTATATAAGTTATACCAGGCGGTCCTATAATGAACTGGCCTGATATAGTTCAACGCGACATGTCGCTACATGTTGTGTTGCATTAAATAGTACGTTTATCGTGCACTTAATGTAAGAAACATGCATCGACATGAAATGCTTAGTCTTAGTTTAACAGGCATTTGAATAACGAGAGTCGCGTATTTTTTCAAAATGTCGAAAACTGAGTATCGAAGTGTCATAAAGTTTCTGTTTAAAGAAGGTTTATCCCCTGCCCAAATAAAAGAACGATTGGATGGCGTGTATAAGGAGTCTGCCCCCTCCTATAGCACAGTGAAAAATTGGGTGAAAGAGTATCGCCTCGGAAGAGAAACCGTTGAAGACTTTGGCCACGACGGTCGACCTGTGGAAGTGCTCACTCCCGATTGCTCTTATCGAAGAGGAGGTTCTGAGTGACCGCCGTTTGAAGATTAGAGAAATTGCAGCAAGGCTTGGGCTCTCTAAGAGTACCGTTCATCGCGCGATCCATGAACATCTTCACATGAAAAAAGTGAGTGCAAGATGGGTACCGAAACTTCTTTCAGCGGTACAGAGACAGGAAAGAGTGCGCTGCGCTTCGGAGTTTTTGGATCTTTGTGGCGAAAATCCAAAGACTGTGATCGAGCGGCTAGTGACTGGTGATGAAACTATGATCTTGTATTATGATCCACAAAGCAAGCGCGAGTCAATGGAATGGCGTTATAAGGGTGAAAAGCCCCCTAGAAAGGCAAAGGTGCAGCAATCGACTAAAAAACTGATGTGCACAATATTTTGGGATTTTCAAGGCATTTTGATTTTCTAGCGATGAAGAGTTGCAGGCGGCCGTCTTCAGTCATTTTGAGGATAAAAAATGTGATTATTTTTGTAAAGGTTTAGAGTTGTTGATGTACAGATGTCAGAAGTGTGTTAGTATTCATGGTGATTATATTGAAAAATAAAATTGGTTTCGTTTCATTTCCTTCATTGGTTCATAGTTAGGTCAATTCATTATGGGACCGCCAACGTATATATAAATATATTTAATATGAATATATATATATATATATATATATATATATATATAATATATATATATATATATACCATCTGCGAGCTGCAGCTTTAATATAATGCAGCGTGACTAATTCGTGAAAATAGCAGCATAGTAATAATGCACAATATGCACTTACTATCGGGATGACTACGTGCTTGTTTATGATCCTTCCTTTTGTTAAAAAATAGTTTGGATCCTAAATGTAGCTATTGCTAGCATTACACTAGACGCGGAAAAAACTTAGAAAATTACCCCCAATTAATTTAAATCTACAGATCACCCCCTAACTGTGTATGGAAAACATTTTACTTTCTGCCATCTAATGGATATGCGTCGCTGAAGCTGAATAAGATTTTTTAAGAAGTATTCAAAATAAACGCACGTATTCGAATGCAAAGTATTGTTAAAATTACAAATAGATCGGCGAAGAAATATCTGGGATTGAGGATTTTGAACAAAGGTACATTTACAATTTTACGTACATACATAATGCTTTTTTTTAGTAGACACCTCCTACAAAGCATTTGAAACTTAGTAGATAAAAGTTCATAAAAAAATTTTATTTTTTATTTTTATAGAATAAGGGTGACAAATGAGTACACAGTCCACCTGATGGTAAGTAGATACTGTGGCCGATAGACTTCTACATTTATCCTCGATTAAAAATCAAAACGCAGATGCGTTGTCACCCCTGAGGACTAAGATGGAATGCCTCGCAACCAGTAAAAGGGTCTACATGAGTATTTAACAGAAAAAGATGTCGTAATTCACCAGCAGTGTAATCATATCGTAAGGCGATAGCTATAACTTTCCTTTTTAATAAATAAGTACTAAGTATAGGATAAAATAAAATGTAATTGAAATATAAATCCAGAAAAATTTATATGATAGTAATTTGGATTAAGCACGCTTTCACGCATCACATATCTAAATAATGTAAGTTAACCCTTACCAAATATACCGATAAAACCTTATCAGTCTGTCCAGCTTCATTTTCGTAATCGCAGTGGTACGCGTCCCCATTGCGTGCCCGGCGTCTAACGAGTCCGTGCAATACTAGTGGCGAAACACAATACCAAGGTGAATCTTTCCACCGTCTTATGTATAAAAGGTATTGTCCCCAAACATAACGTATCACTCACATCATCTGTTTTACGCAGTGAACCAAATAAAACCTACAAAATGTTTAAGGTTTGTACAAGATAAATAAAAAAATGTTTTCTACTTTTATTCGTAAATATTTCAATATATTTTTGTTTTTAGGTACTTTTCCTCGCTACTATTGCCGTGGCTACTGCCAAGCCCAGTATTGCTCCTGCTGCATACGTCGCCGCTCCTGCTCCTCTTGTGGCCGCTCCAGCTCGTCTAGTGGCCGCTCCAGCTCCTCTAGTGGCCGCTCCAGCTCCAATCGTCACTGCCTCAAGCTCCCAGTACATCGCAAGGAACTACAACGGCGTGGTTTCTGCACCTTTAGTGGCTGCCGCAGCTCCAGTCGTGGCAGCACCAGCCACATACGTCGCTCCAGCAGCAAAAATCGTAGCCCCCGCCGCGCCACTTTACTCCGCTGCCGCTCCCCTGTACGCCCGATACGCTTCCCCATATGTATCGGCTCCTTACTACGCTCCGTCCGCTCCTCTTTATGCCTTCAAGTAAGACTGTAACCTAGAAGAAATCTTCCGAAATCCCAACGAATAAATGATTTTATAATCTATGAACGTTTATTTTACTAAATCTTATATAAATGCTTTTAACATTTTTCCATTAAATATTAGGAATGTGTAAATACATCTGTGCACGATAGCAGCTAACTTTATAGTTCAATAATTCACGTTCACCAAAATGCATTCACCAAAAAAGTCATGATGTAACCAACAAACTCAGATTCTTGAAATACAAAATAACTTATAAAGAAGGTATTGTGTATTTCAAGAAAGTTTTAAGGAAATCCTTCAACTGTCCTTGACAAAGGTAAAAAGTTTCGAAACAAAGCTTTAACGACTTGTTACACACTCAAGCCATATAAATAACATTAGTTCTATTTACGTTTGTTGTTTGAGCAACTAACCAATCTAATACAATATTTCTTAAGCTTTAAATATGAAATAATAAAAAAACAGTAATATCTAACTGACGTATTTTAAATCCGTGATTTGAAAGCTACCCAATTTGCAAGTATCGTTACATATATTAAAATATTATATAAGTACATGTATACGTTACACATATATACATAGTAACATAATTTGGTTTATCTACAAATTTTCTCTGATTTTTTAAAATATTTTACGTATTTGTATAAACAATCTTGTACACTATATTTTTCTGTAATGATGTCCAAACCTTCACATTCAAGTCACAAGTGTGCCAACATGTGATTTTTGAGACAAAAACTAGAGTTACTTCAAAGTTCCAAAAGTCTTTCAAATATTGGAAGAAGCGCCTGTAAAGGAATTATCCAATGGAGAATATTCTAATGAGTAACAGTGATGTGTACAAATAAATAATATTTTTCAAAAATGAAAATGGCATAATTTTAATAATGTATTTTTAAATATCCAGGCGAGAACACAGTTTTACCCCTAACGCGGTAAACCCCAAATATAAATTTAAAAATAATTAATATGTATAATAATGATTACTAAATTGTTACCCACCTCTTACCGTTTCATATATCTTAAATATCATAATGAGCCGGCGGGAAATCCTTTTCTGAGGATCTCCTTTGTACGTAATTTCGACCATTAAATTTGTAACTAACAAGTAAAAAGATACACGGTAATAAGGTGCTAGGTCACTCGTTTCAATGGTTCCATCATTTAAGGTAATAAAGTTATTAATTTTTGAGCTAATTTCTATAAATGGTCTTCTTTATCATCATCACCGCCATTAATCTGTATAATTCCACTGCTAAAATGGGACTCAGCCCTACAGGGAGGATTCACCTTAATTGTCATTATTTACAGGAGGATTGACGATCGCAAGACCGAACATATCCCACCTTGGAGTCTGCTGCTGTCGCCGGTCTATGTACGCCGGACGTAAACAAAATGACTACATCGCTAAACCCCGCAAGCCAGTATTTCCCATTTTTAGGCATTTTCCATGTTCAGGTCACCACACGACTACCTATACAATATGTAACGTAATTAACTCAAACCCTCAGACACCCCAATTAGTATATTATGTTATAATCATAATAGATACACTGAATTTTAGTTAAACATTTTTATGCACTGATTATTTATCTAATTAGTACTATACTAACTCCGGAAGAATATTGTGGTCACAGTACAAATCCACGAAACCAAAGACTTTAACTTGCTTGAAATAAAGTTCATTTTTCTTTATTTTTATTGAATGCCAGAATTAGTAATAATACAAATAAAACTGCACTCTTAAAAGTCTTATTGCCTTAAGCTACGGTCCATTTCAGTTTGTTTTGACTGTACAGATTTAGTGTGACTGTAATTTACGTAGTTTTAATTATTTTTGGGATAAAAAATACCTATATTAAAAATGATAGGAATCGATTCAGTAAACGATTCTGAACAAACTACTTCTCAAAGTGAGTTAATTATGTTTCGTGTTGTATATGCGACAGCAAAAGAAGATACGTGGACACATATTTGGAGACAACAGCATGTGTAAAATGTTAACAAAAACTGGTGCAGATTTGTTGGTTTCATTTTTTACTTCATTCTCAGAGTAATTGCATACACATGTATCTAATTATTCTAAGACTCTATTATATTCCTAGATATGCTTGCCCGTTTTCTATACAAACAAATCATTGATGCCTTTGCTTGATTTTGATGCTTTTACAGTAACGAAACACGAAATCCTAACAACACCATAGGTCATACTGTGTATAGAAAAAAGACCCATACAAACCGATACTTAAATGGTGAATCTCACCACCATCCTTCACAGTTAGCTACCGTGGGCAAATCTTTGTTACAGAGAGCACGAGGCACCTGGCCGTCGAGCTTCAGCACGTCAAGCAGGTTCTGCACGACAACAAGCTTCGGGTCCCGCGCCTCCGTCACAGTGACCGAGTGAAGCCGGCCACTGTCGAGCGTGTGCCTGCTATACTACCATATGTCAGAGGTGTCACAGACAAGGTTGGCTACATCTTGAAGCGAGCTTCTATTAGAACATTCTACAAGCCGCCGAAGAAGATTAGTCAGTTCTTACCATCCGTCAAGAGTCATATTCCTCTACAAGATGCAGGAGTGTACAAGCTTGATTGTGATTGTGGTCTCTCATATATAGGGCAAACAAAGAGATCTATTAGAACCCGCGTAAAAGAACATGTAGCTGACGTGAAACATCAACGTTCCGGGAAGTCTGCAGTTTGCGATCATATCCTAGTTGGCCCCAACCATTACATCAGATTTGATAGACCACAAATCCTCGCAAAAGAACATCGATTCCTACTAAAGGGTGAGGCTATTGAAATTAAAAAAACATCCTAATTTCAATAGAGAAGGAGGCTGGGTACTACCACCTGCTTGGGATCCTATAATTAATAAAATTAAAACTAAACCCAAGCATACCACTGCAAGACTTCAAAACACAGTTAGTTCATTCTGCGTAGATCGGACCAAAGACAATAATTAAAAAGCTGAAGGTACTCCGGGTTAACTTTGACATCGGGACGTCAGTCACCTCAGTCCCCCGTGACCATGGGTGCTGGAAAGCACCCGAAACGTCGGGTATTAAAATTAATATAAATAAAACGCGATAAAATCCGTAAAAGTAGTTTTAATCAATGAGAAAACAAATTAATGAAAGAATGTTTTTTAAAAGCAACGTAGCTCGGTAAGCTTTTACATCTATAATTTAAATATGGTATTTCAAGTAATGTGCTCTGTGTTTCAAGTAGAATGCAAAATTTTAAAGTTTAAGTTACTAGCTATCTAGACCATTTGATATAATTGTTTATTTTATTGGCAGGAATCAAATATTTCTTTTGTTGGCTCCTAGTTTCTTTCTAGAGAAGTTAGTTCACTAAATCATATTTTGGGTGCAATAAGGAACGACAGAAGAAAATGAAATAGGAGATTGGCAGCAGTAATTTCAAACGAGGCAAATATGGAAAATATCATTAAAATATATATCGTATATGTCATAATTTTAACACTCGCGATAAATCTAAACTCGCTGTATAAAACTAGCGTCTCATTATGTGAAAATGTGCTATAATTATAATAAGATTCCCTGTAATATTAGTGATTTACTTTAGCATAAATTCAAAGCACATGTAAAGTATTTACAAAATACAAATGCGTGGACATAATGAGCTTACTTATGCTTTTATGCTTACGTTTATGTTTTAGCCTTATAGGTTAAATTACGATGTAGTAGCGGTGTAAGAATATCCATTATCCCATATCATTCCGAGGGTGTCGTAAGAGGCAACAGACGGAACACACCCGGAGATGGGCAACAGCGTCTTCTTAATAATAACAAAAAATAAAAATATGCGGTTGCCAACCCGCTTGCCAATCATGGCAACTATGACAATACGCGGTTGCCAACCCGCTTGCCAATCATGGCAACTATGACAAACTATGAGGCATTCTATGGGGGAGGCTCATGTTCATCAGTGTTCTTTTATTGGGCTTTTGTTACTGTTACATAACGGTAAATGTTGAATTGTATTTTTATAGCATTGGGTGACAAACGAGCACACAGTCCACCTGATGGTATGTGGATGCTCTGGCCGAATCAAAACCAGAATCAAAATGCAAATACGTTGTCACCCTGAGGACTAAGATGGAATGCCCTGATTCCAGTAAAAAGGGTCTCCGGTTCTCTACACTCACCATACGAAACACAGCAGTATTAAGCTGCTTTTTTACGCTGAGCGCACGCAGAGCGTGGTCCTTCCCCGGTCGAACCGACCCATTCATGCTACAACTATAATATAGCTGCAGCGTGGCTCTACCACCTAAATAACTATTAGTCTATTTGCAAGTTTAACGCTAGCTCTTTTCACAAGGTCTTCCTGCAGTAGGGACTTGTTCAAGCGTCTGCAAAGCTTTTGAGTTTCAAAAAGTGCTTTGTAAAAGTCAATTTCGAATAAAAATATTTTACTTTGATAATGTCCCTATCATGAGATATGAGGTAATCAATAGGTGAGGTCTGTATTCATTAATAGACTTTTGGTAGGCTGTAATGTTTAAATGATAAATGATTATACACTATAGATTGTACAGGTTTTTTAGTTTAGAAATTTATAAATAAAAGAATTTAAACGAAATTATTTTTTTAAATTTATATTGTATTGCTACAATTACTAAAAGATTTAATAAAGTTAAAATTTGCTCACCGCAGCGACATAATCTAAATACTATAAACTCTAATTTGTATGCTATTATCGTCTTATTCGATGCATTTTTTCAAACAATTTGTTAAACTTCGTGCGTAACGTCTAAAGATTCCATACAATACCGATGTCGTAATGATACACAAGGTGAATCTCACCACCGAACATTGTATAAAAGGTGAATATTGTCCTGAAACTTTATCAATCTCCTTTGTCTGTCCAACAAAGAGAATCACAGAGACAATCAAAATGTTCAAGGTTTGTACCAATATACATACTATGACTTCAATCACTTTAAAAGGCATGAAATATAACAAAAAATATTAATTTTTCATCCAGGTATTGTTCCTCGCAACTATCGCTGTGACTGCTGCTAAGCCCAGTATTACCCCTGCTGCGTATGTCGCCGCCCCAGCTCCTGTCGTGGCTGCTCCTGCTCCAATCGTTACTGCCTCGAGCTCACAGTACATCGCAAGGAACTATAATGGCTATGTTGCTGCACCCTTAGTAGCTGCTGCCGCGGCTCCAATCGTGGCAGCGCCAGCCTCATACGTCGCTCCAGCAGCCAAGATAGTAGCACCAGCAGCGCCACTTATCTCTGCTACTGCTCCTGTATACGCCCGATATGCTTCACCATACGTAGCTGCTCCTTACTTTACTGCCTCCGCTCCTCTTGTTGCCCTAAAGTAAGACTAAAACTTAGAAAAAAATCTTTTAAAATTGTATAAATGTATAAATAAATGATTTTTGTCTATTCATCTTTATTATTTTTTACTAATATAAAAGAGTCGGATGACTACACTTGTTGCCCTTGTTTGTGAAAAACCTGCTCTAAACTTTTCCACTGTAGCCAAGATCGTTGCTTCTGCAACATCATTTGCCTAAACTACTCAATTCTTTACGTGATTTACCGTAACGTCAATCCTAAACGTTGACCCCTTTGTCTTCCAGCATAATCAGGATGCTTATGCCGCTATTATTGCCGCATTAATCTAATTATTTAATGTAATTTATATTTTAAAATAATAAGGTGCTGTGCCAACCCGCTTTCCAAGTGTGGCGACTGTGGAAAATATCCCTTCTCTGAGACAATATAAGGAGGAGAACTATGATCAGCAGTGAACTTCAATAGACTGAAACGGTAATGTTAAACTTCATGGTCTTCATTTTTCTTGTCTCCAGTTCTTGGGCATAATATTTACTGTTGATATTTGATTCATATCGTTGGCCCCTTTGAATATTGATTGTCACAATAAAATTGATGTTGGAGTTCTTTTACGTTTGAGTAGACTTCAAAATTTCATAAGTTTCATTCTATTTACGGTGAACTTGTGAAGAACTACATTCGTTGTAGAGTGCTACCATAAGAGAACCCACTGGCTCATATCGTCCCGTGGATATCGTAAGAGGCAACAGAGATAAACTGAAATAAGAAACTAGTAGTAATAACTTCTTGACAGCTAAAACTAATAAAAAGCTTCGGTTTCCAACTCACTAGCCAAGCGTGGACACTACCGCAAATATTCAGTCTCTGAAACAATATATAAAGCAGGTCTATGTTCAGCAGTGAACTGCTACTCTTATTAGATAATCTTAATATTTGCGGTATAGTGAAAAAAGTAATATCTCCGAAAAAATTCAATAACAATAATAAAATTAAAAACTATCTAATAGCCCCATTAAAGTTAAAATCAATAGCCCACACACATCCCACTTGTAGGCAAAGGCCGCAGAAATTTAACCCGCCGCGGAATGACCGCCTTCACATATTAAAGACATTTTGCGAAATATTTTTAACTTCTGTCCCGACATGTACTTAGGTTTCCTCGCGATGTTCTCCTCAGAGAACGTGATAAATAGGCACTTTAAAATGCTATTAAAATTTGTATGGTGTTTGGATGGACTGAATTTGGATTGCATATGCACTATAATTAAATTAATTTACGTTTTGTTTGGATTAGGTTCAGATCGATTACCAGACAAGTAACTTTTAAAATTCTATCAATTCAGGTGTAGCCATGGTCCACAGAAAAATAAAGCTATGTTAAATAAAATTTGCTTTCACATTTAACATGTACGTTGGAGCTCGTTCTTGTACGTTTACTTAATAATGAAAGCAACGAAACCGAGTCTTTCATAAAATTCTTTATATCTCTGAAAATATATAACCTATCTTAACAAATAACAAACAGTTTTATTCTGTTATTAGAAGTAATAAAAGTATAGTAGCAGCCTACACGCGTCTCATGACTGCAAGCAGCTGCTCCCGGGACTCTCGAATTTGTAACTAAATTATAAAAATTGAAAAAAAAAAGTCTTTTGTGGGTTTGTAGACTGCATTATGTCTAGTAATTAGTCATCCAACGATGCCACTAAATATTCCATCAAATAGATAAAAATCTTACAGCGCACATAAGTTTCTGTTACTTACATATATCTTACGGATAAGTTGATACCGAAAGAAGTTGGTGAAATTATTGCTGTGCTGATTGATACCAAATATTTTAAACTAAATAGCTTCTCTCTTAATCACAACTTTGTGTACACAGTGGATACTGTTTAGTTAGTCATTTTGATAAACATTTAGATATGCAGCCATAGTTGCAGGCCGATCCCGAATTCCATCTTTATCATCGCAATGGTTGGTGCACTACCCGACAATTCACGCCGAATTTACTCACACTCACGACTACACTGTGGAATTTAATGTCGCCAGTGGTTTTTCCAGGCCGATACGACATAGGGAACTTAAAGAAAAGAGCCTTCTCCTTTCTAAAAGGTCGGCGACGCATAACTCCCTTGGTAATTCAAATGATCATGGACGACGGTGATCATTTACCATCAGACGAACCGTCTACTCATTTGCTCCTCTTCCATAAAAAATTTGGAAAATCATCCAAACAATGGATAACATATAATCATAACCGAACCCATAACCGATATAGATATTTTAAGTCTGGCAATTTTTAATCCTGCACGAATAAGTATTCAAGAGCTTTCTTCAATTTAATTTTATCAGTTACTTATAATCAGTTTATTCATAAATAAATAGATGGCACTGTACATATTATATTTAAAAAAATAACTTTAGCTTTAAATTGAGAATAATAAAGATAATGAGTTTTGCAATATTTGCAGTCTGGCCAGTTTTAATCAGTTTATTTTTAGATTAGTAATTAAACAAAAAGAAATTGGTTGACCCTGCAAGCCATCCCTGGAACTTCCCGCTGATTTCAAATGCAAAGCGCTCCAAATTTCACCAAATTATGTTGCAAAATCTCGGTTATGTAAAAAAAACGTTTTTTTATTATTTTTTCTCTTTCGATATCTCACGAACGAATGAACCGATTTTTATTTTCCAAACAGCATTCGACGTCATTTTTTGAGATTAAAAGCTGTTTAGTCTTCGAAATCGATCGGTAAAGCCGTTTAAAAGTTATTCCAAAAAAAGAAACAGTTTTTAAAATTTTTATTCCTGAGATTTCTCAAAATCTACTTGACCGAATTAGTTCATAGTATCACCAAATCTATTCCACATTGAGATCATTAGAACCGCAATGAATGAAACCGCATGTCAATCAATTAAGACATTCAAAAGTTATGAAAGGTTTACATACTTACACACACACATACACACACACACACACGCACGCACGCACGCACGCACGCACGCAGGCACGCACGCACGAACGCATACACGCACACACACAAACAAATCTATTCCACATTGAGATCTTTAGAACGCCGCAAACCGCATCTCAATCAATTAAGACATTCAAAAGATATGAAAGGTTTACATACTTACACACACACACACACACACACACACACACACGCACGCACGCACGCAA